GGAGGAAATTAATATTATGAATAAACTTGCAAGGGAGGTTAAAGAATAGAGTGATGGCACTCGATGAGTGTGAAGAAAAGTCCTGTCCTGCATGATTAGTGGATTAACTGTAATGTCCGTGTTGAAGACATAGAGCCCTATTATTCAAATCACGGTCCTCGAGGTCCGAGCACTGCTGGTTCTCCAGCCTTCCTTTACCTGTCAATACAAGGCCTGGATTTGGAATCGAGGTCCAGATTTGAAGAGCCCTGACATAGAGGTTCAATGACCACTTTGTCATTAATGACAAAGTATCCAGCTGTCAAGAAACATATCACAGCCTGGCACTGGGCTGAGCTGCAGTTACTGGGTCTATCTCTGAGAGCTAAGATCAGATTTGTTCAGAATATAGTATTTCTTGTGACTCTGCAGGTGTAAAAGCAGAATAGGATGGGTATGGACACTTTTGAACTCTGGTGCTGGCAAAGACTTTTAAGAATACTGTGGACCGCAAGGAGAATACTTAAGTGTCTTCTTGATCAAATTAAATCTGACATTTTCACTTGAAGCACAAATTCCTGGACTATGTCCATATATTGATCTGGTACCTTGGGGAAGGCCGTGATGCTTGGGAAAGAAGATAACAGAAGAAGATGATGACCAGCGATGAACATGACTTTGGGAAGACCGGGACATTCTAGGGAAATGCCCTCTGTAGAGCAGCCAGGACCCCACATCAACTTCATCATGTAATAATGAAATTTCTGCACAGAGAACAGCTTTTGATTTCTACACCATCCTTCAAACTTGACAGAATGAAGCAGTTTGACCTTTTTTATGCAGAGCTGGGCTACTTGGTGTTGGTGAAGTTAAAGGCATGAATTCCAACAGGACTGCTTGGACACACCAGAGTTATTAATCTTAATCTTTGTTATTCAGCCAGAATGTAGTTTCATTAGATTTTTAATGCTAAAGCCATTAGCATATTTTTTCCTGCCCATTTCCTGCTCAAAACATTAGATTGTTTCCATGAGCACTGTGTTTATGTACACGTCATGGTTAAGATTACATCGCATTTCTAAGACTCTGCAAAAGTGTCATTACCCTTCGCTGTGGCCTTTTCAGAAAATGACTGTGTAATGTTGAAGTCTTTAGCGTAGCAGCAAAGGTACAAATGCAATAAACGGTTGAGGATGTGACCCCTTTGCTCGGATAACACATAAAGCTGGGAAACAAACACATTTCCTGCACTGTTTATGGACATCCTCTGCCTTGTGTCCCGTTCATCCAAGCATAGGCTCCAAGCTCACTGCAGGCTTGAGCTGGGTTAGGGGTTATGGAAGATGGGTGGATAATTGATTAATTGCCATTCATATAATTGTATACATGTCTTTTATTCTGGAGGTAGCGTCTGTCTTCAGAAGTAGATCTTCCCCCTTTCTGGTTTGAGTTGTTGTCTGGTCTGCCAGGCTGTTGGCGAAGGAGCCGTGATTCTTGTCTTGTGGTTGATGTTCTTGCATAGAACGTGCAGCTTCGTAGATGTTGAGATCATGCCTCTTACGAGAGCGTCTCCGTTGTTCCTGCTCTCTGCTAGGCGGCGGTGGACAAGCAGGTGGCATAAAATGTCTTTGTGACTTTATTCCCGGCCAACCTTATGTGTACAAGATGGTGAAGACTGTCCTGCAGAGGACTTCAGCCTCGTGTCATACCTCCAGCACAAATGAGAAGAATTCCAAAGAAGGGCTTTTGAAAAGGGGTAGTTTGCTGGCTTTAGGAGCCATTTTCTGCCAAATGTTTACGTCAAAGCCTGTAGCTGTTTTATCTTTGGTGTTGTTTAATTCTCCTGGCTGTTTCGTCACAGGTGACACAAAAACCGGTCGAAACAATGCAGCTTAACAGTGAATCACTGCGTTTACGTCCATGATATGAGCGTAATGTCTAAATTCATCTCTTCAGCTGAATCATTAGAGCCAGCTGACACCTCAGGTACCCCTCACGCGGGTGTGTCCCTCCCTCCTACGGTGGCATACCTTTTCGGTGAGATCAGGGAGTTAACGGCATCAGTGGTTCATGAAAATATGCATTTCTACCTTCATCCTTCTCCTTCATCTGAGGCCGTTTCCATCCACTGGCCAAGCGCGGCAGGATAATGTTGAAAGAGACGTCATTAATGATGTCGGCGTTCCTTTTGTGTAATGCCCCTTTTAATGTTTGCCCCTATGTTTCGTCAAGGCAGTAACACCCGGGCATAATCTTCACTACCTTACATGGGGGTTCGTCTCGTGTGCTGGGGAGAGGCTGGAAGTTTGTTCGTCTGCCAAGATCTTGGGGAAAGGGGGGGGGGAGAGGTGGGTGACGGTGAGTTACCGCATTTTCCTGTGAGTGGAGGCCCCAGCCGGAGCCCCGAGGAGCTCTGATTAACCTCCACCTCCGACTTTGCCGGCTTGCCAGGGACCCTGAGCAGACTGGGGCTCCTCGGTCTGTTCGCTCCGGAGCGCCCACTAATTGCCTGGGTCGCGGTCCCACTAATGAAAAGTGGCAAGTACCAGTGGAGTGGCTCTTAATTGCCGCTTCCCCGCAGTGGGGTCTCCGCCGCAGTCGTCCGGGAAGGACCTTTTCTTTGTCTCTTCTCCTTTTCAGATTCCGACCTGGCTTAAAGGGGAAGCATGGTAACTACATACAAAATAAGGACTGAATGGATGTTACACTGGTGTTCCAGCAGAGTCCATTGGCTGCAAAAGCCAATAAACTCTCAGGCTGTTTTGCGCCCCTCACCCCTCCCTCTGGATCGCACTGTTATTTATGTAGTTTGTCATTGTCAGGTTGTGTTGACTCTTTTCGCAGAACACCAAGAAAGGGGTCTGTTGTAATTCTAATCCTGACCTGTTTGGGGCATCAGTTCTGGGAGCTGGCGGCCATGTGTGTTTACATCTTAGGTACGGATTGCTAGCGAGCCCAGCCGCGTTCGTTTTTAAAGCATAGGCCTCCTCGTAAATTTCTGTGGGCCGGGCAAGGCGGTGCACCTTACACAGACAAGTCATTTATTTAAGAGATTCTTAAACTTTATGACCGGCAAGACTTATGGCTGCTGTCACTAGCTGAGCCTATTTTTGTGTCTCAGAATTGAGAAAAGTAGATTGAGGTGTTGCCGGTGATCTCCTGGCGATTGCAGTGTACCGTCATGACATCTGCTCTCCAGGTGATCCCAGCCCGGTGAGAGAGAGCGGAAACCGAACGGGAAAGAATCTAATCAGTAAAGCATGGCGGAGCGGATCATTCTCAATTTCCACTCACGTTTATCACATTACTATTACGGAAATGTTATTTTCGTTTGCTCCAATATCTTGTGTGTGTAACTGACTGACCCCACTGTCCGAGTGCCTGTGCATTTATTTATCAGTGTCTAGCCTGTCGTTTTATTTATTTATTTGAAATTGTCGGACTGCTGCATAATTAAGGGAAATAAACAGAAGCATATGGAGCGGACAGTCACAGCTGAGCTCGCGGCAGCGTACGGCTGGCAGAGAGCGTCCAGCCCAGACTGGGGAGCAGAAGGTAGTAGCGGTAATTGCAGTCTAGTGACAAGTGTTTTCGGGAAATGCGGTTGGCGGCATTAGACGCGCCCCCCCACCCCACCCCCTAAGTAGGCCGTGACTCACCCCTGATGGGCCCGCGATGACTCATGCATCAGGATGGCCAGCGTCTTTGACTCAGCTGGAATGGTGACAGAATCCTAGGGGTTTTTTTGTTCCCCCCCCCGACGTGGTGGAGTGGAGAATGAACGCACCGCTTTGGCGGCCAGCATAGCTAGTGGCTGTGTGGTCCCACCTCCCCTTCCTTAACAAGGATAGATTTTACCCCCGAAGTCCCCCCCCCCAGGAGAAGCCCATCTGCCTGTTCTTTGTCTGCTTGTTACGGAATGTGCTGGGCTCTAAGACCATGACCACATGCTGCTGAAAGCACCAGTCCTGGTTTATACTGGTATGCAATCCTCGGTTATTTTAATGTGGCTTCTTCAGATTACTTTGACACCTTAGATGTTGGGTTTGTCTGCGGTATGTTTTTTTTTTTTTGGGGGGGGGGGTGGTTAAGTTGTTAATTGATTCCTATGACTGAATCCTAGCAAGCAGTATTAGGAGCAAATGGCCCTGGGGGGGGGGGGGGGGGGGGGGGGGAGGTGCAGCTGCATAAAGGCCGCCTGAAGGTGACTGCCCTGTGGGGGTGCACGCTCGTGGTCCCCCGCTGAGCGCCTTCTAATAGGAACTCCCAGCCCTGCCATGTGGCCTCTGTGTCTACAGATGGATCCAGTTCAGGCAAATGGCGATTCCCTCCCAATGGGTCAGTTACATGCAAGGCTGCACAGTCTCTAGGTGTCTGGTGCTCTCTGTTGTGTCTCTCGGTTGCCCTGACTTTAAGAGTAAATGCTGCTGGATGAGCAGCATTGCATCATGGGGCTGCGTTTGCTCCATTTGCTGCTCCCTATCCGCTGGCACCTGCTTGATGCTCTTTCCTGCAGAACTTTCCTTTAATTCCTTGTATATCTTGTAACATGTTACAACAGCGTTTAATTTCAAACATGCCTTGTTTTCTGCATTTATCTCCTAAAATGCTGCTTGAAGGGTTTGGATTTCTTACCATTGTCTCTTAATAAATAAACCAATGATTCTTTATTTAAAAAAAAAAAAAAAAGATTAATATTTGAGTAGTACTATGATTTTGCAGATTTAGGTTCAGTCGTATTGCTTTTATCGGCCGGACACTCTGATGACTTTCTTGGGCTGTCAGCTTCTCTCAGTGTTTGTGGGTTTAGTTATCGAGGTGAGGGAACCCTTAATTGCATGGGAACAGACAACAGCCAGTTTGAAATGCCTTACAGGGGATACAAATGTAATACTGTGTTATCTAAAAAGCATATTAGAAATGCATATATGTAAGCCTGCTTTCTAATTATTTTGTTATGCATATTTGCATAGTAAGTTCTTGCAGGGAGCATGACATCCCCCCCCCTTCTTAATGCCTAGGCTGTTGACCTGGATGGCCCCGTGCTGATGCCCCCGCCACATACATGGAGAACGTCCTGCAGTAGAACAGGCCACAGCACGATGGCACCGTGGATCGTGCTGCTGTTCTGGGCTCTTTTCAGCCTCCCTTTGGTTTCCCAGAGTCGCCCTGCTGTCAAGGATCCAGGTAAGACTACATTTTCCTTTGGGTCCAGTATCTCAGTGCACCTCCAACATTGCTCTTTATGGAGAGCTGGTAGCCAGTGGATGTCCATCCCAGGTATCGAACCAAGCCGTGGTACCATGGAAAGGAGGGCCTCGGTAAGATGTCCTGCTGAATCGCTGAGCAGCACTTACCATTTGTGTATTTAAGGCTTTTTCTTACCGAAGTTCCTGGTTCCGAGTTCCTGGGCCACCTTGCCTGGGAACTTTTGCAGCTCCTGTCCACTTGTGCAGCGGGACATGGGCACACAAAACAGGAACTGTGACCTTAATGCTAAATAAGCACAGGAGATGCGAAACGCTCGTAGATTGGCAGTAGATTAACACGTAATTTCATATGAAATGACACCGTCATGCCAAAACAGTGGTGGAGCAAGTCATTTTGTTAGGTATTTGTCAAAATGGGGCACAGCCTTTTATTTATAGTTTATTTATATAAGCCAGGACATGTTTGTAATTCCGTATTAAATCCGGATCAATCAATCTTTCCTTTTTCACACAATAAAAAATTATGTAATGTTATCTCGCTAATAAGCACTAGTAAGCTTCACTGCCAGCACCGGCAATATTAGACCAAGTATATTATCAAGTTTTCTATTGCAGAAAAATGGGGACCAAAAAGGTATTCATTAATGCTTTTAATGTAATTGACATGCAAAAATAATTCCATCTGCTCGATTTTTGCTCCACTCTTTCTCTTTTTTCCGCACTTCCACATAACTACCACGTAAGTTTATCGTTAAAAGGCCCACACCAGTAGAATGAAACGTACCTAATCCACAGCAGGAACTAAAAAGCGGTTCAGGGACTACTTCCAATCAGTAACTCCAATCAGACCGAGTTCCTGTGGTGGGAACACGACAAGTTCCTGGTTCTGGGGGGACAAAAGCCCCTGGGGTGGGAAAGCGCCTTTATCGGGTTAGGGGAATCATTATTATTCCTCACAATAACGTAGCTTTGCAGCCTGTAAACTGTAGTCGCCACAGGGGCCGGTTCTCAGGAAACCTGCCCTGGGTGGAGTACAAGGTCTATGCAGGCTTACGGTGTTGAAGCTGCCACCTGCAGCTCTGTGTATTGCTCAGCATCCCCACCTTATGCACATTGACTCGAACCCTTATCTCCCAACTGATTTCTTTGATTGTCGGCTCTAGCTAATGATTGAGCCTGTAAACGTGGGTGAGAGGTCCTCGGTCTCACCTGCTTGTGTCACACACGTATCCGTACGGCTTCCTGGAAGATTTCAGTCTAGGTCTATCTTGTTGTCCTTTATGCAGTGTATTGCTTACAAATGGGATTTTAGTATCACATCTGAAAATTCAAATATTTGCGCTACAGATCCATTAAGTTTTTAAATGATGCTTGAGGTTTGGTCTGAATTATTCTTTAACAATGAAAAACTTCAGATCAGACGAAGTTCTTTTTTTCCCAGTGACTAACTTGTTGTTTTAGAATTACTTAAATTTTATAAAATTTTAAATTTTATTTCGGTAATCTTTCGGTAATTAATATGAGGGCTTGTAACCGAGCATGTGGTTCAGCGTTTAAACATTTTAGCCTTCAAATTTAGTGTCAGGTTTTAAACTAAAACTTTCCTTGGGCTTCATAATTTTTTTGCCAGTCTTGGCCAATCCACCTATAAACGCTCTTATTTCTGGCCATGCCACTCTCCTGTGTTTGATCTGCCTTTAATTGGGCGTTCTGGAAGTCGTTAAATGTGATATTATTATTTCTTTGTTTCATGCCAGAGGCCGCAGACCCCCACCCTTGCCACTCATGCCTGTCAGGGAGTCCTTTGCTGCTCTAATGAGGGGGGGGGGGCACAGATGCAGGCCTAGCAGCCGCCGTCTCCTTCTGGGGGCCCGGGCACCAGACCCAACCCACCTTGATCCACACGGTTCCCATCAGCCCGACTGTGAAAACGATCAATAGTAACAAACCTGCACGACGAATCATAGTTACCACAGTCATTGCATTATCTTAAAAAAATGAATGTGTACTTGAAACAAAGTATGACTAGAAGCAGAGTTTTAGTGCTTGTTTTTTGAATGGGAGGGCTTCATTTAGGACTTGTTGCAGTTCCCCGTTTTCTCCGCACCACTGGAAATGGCCAGTTGATACGGCACCCTTGTTAGGTATTTAGAGGAATGCTCAGAACTTAACACAAGGGTGGCATTAGCTAAAAAGAGCAGCGTGGGGAGTTAAAAAAAAGAAAGAAAAAAAAAGAACAACAATCATGAAACAGGATCCTTAAAGGGAAGTCTGCTCTGTCTTTAGGCTGCGAATGGAAGCCGCCTCTCCCTAAGCTGCCTCCGGGGGCCGCTGGTGAGCGGTGTTTACACGCCCAAAATGGGGAGTGGCTTAGAGCTGGCTATTATAATTAGGGCTGTTATGAAAGGAGGTGAGCCTGTCAGCACAGAGAGCCGTGTGTTCATGGCACCGCCAGACCCCGGCTACGCGGCGGACGGCCCCACCTGCAACCCGCAGCCATGCCGGCTCATCTTCTCCGCTCCTTTGTAATAAGAAGGTGTTTGGTGTCACCAAGGGAAGAGATGACACCCAAGGAAACTATAAATTAGGTGGTGGGGGGGGGGGCATTCCTCCTCCGCCTCCCCCAGGCTTCCATTCACTTTGGAGATAGTGTTTCTGGGAAGGGCTGGAGTTTCCTCAGGCCTGGAATGGATCGGCAGGTGGGCCGGCTCTGCGGGTTGGAGGAGGGGTGGAGGGATGTTGTCCTTCCGCAAGTGAGATTCCTATTCCCTCCCCAGAGTAGACGTGCTGCTTGGAATGAATCGCTTCTGCTCCGTGAATAACGTTCCCCTAGCCTCTAGCTACTTTTTTTTTTTTGTTTGGTTTTTTTTCCCCTCTCACAAACGGTAAAACGCTTCTCCCTTTGCCGTCCTTTGCGCCAAAGTTGCTACTTTGACAAGGCATTGATGAGCGGGATGGCGCCTTAAGGGCATATTGGACCCATTCTAGCAGTTGTCTGGTTTAGCATTAGATCCTGGTAGAGCAGAGCTCTGAGTGGATAGGATGGGAGGTCTGCAGGTCTCCTGTGGTTTGTCAGCTATGTGACACATTCCAGGGGGATGGTTCACCAATCATAATTCATAAATTCATACGTTTTTTTTTTATGTTTTTTTGGGTCCACTCCCCCCAGTTTTAGAAGAAGGAGCTCCCAGTAGCCGTTCAGGTGTACTCTTGCATGCTCTTAATGGAGTGTTGAGAATACATTAGTCACTGAGAATAGTAAGTGGATGATTTGAAGACCTGTGGTTCAGCGTGGTTAAAATGTTGAAATTTTAGTGTGATTTTTGTGTAAATGCTCGTGCAGTATTCTTGTGTCACTCTTTATTAATCTTCTAATGACATTGGTCTGCATAGGTCTGTAGTCGATGTGGCTTATTAGGTTTTCAGGCTTCTAGTCTGATGAGGCATAATCTCTTTTGCTATTTCACAAATGTTGTGTGCGTTTGAGTTTATGGCTTTCTTCCAGAACTTTATCTGACCGAACCTATTTTCATATGTATTAAAATAAAGAAAATTAGACTTTAGTTGTAGCAGTTCTCACTGTGATCCCTCCTGAAATGTGTTCCAGTAATATTCAGTAATGTCCAGTAATACAGTATTTGTGTCTCCCTGCCTGGACACTCCTCTGTGTGAAGCAGGTGATGCGTTGAGGGTTTCGCAGACCCGTGAGGGAGGTCTGTGTTTCTCAGGGAGGTCCTCAGGAAGCCCCAGACGGTCCACATTTTTGCTCCCTCCCAGTCCACAGTTTTATTCCCTTTCAGGCTAGGCTCAAGGCTAAAAAAGACCTACAAGACAACAGTCATCCATGGTGAGGAGGGCCCTGGGGGGGGGTTCATGCCCAGCCACTGCCTTTTTGTTCGAACATTTACGCTCTGTTTAGAAGGGGGGTGTCAGTCTAGGCCCCATCAGTCGGGAAAACTGTGACACCCTGGGCAAAGAAAAACAAAACTCCCAACTCCCAACCTGCTACACGTTAAGGACTTGGGGGCGGCACACTGGGGAGGCAAAATCAAAAGGACACTGCGTCGTATTCGTCCCATGCTGCCTCGTATGGCACTTAAA